GCTACGGCTACGAGTATTTATGTTACTGTTGCTAGTACTAGCGCTGTGATTACGATTGATCTTTCCACTACCACCACCACCACTACTACGACGGCGATTGCTGTATTGAGTAGTACCAACTACTACTACTACTACTACTACTACTACTACTAATACTACTACTACTAATAATAATAATAATACTACTGCTAAGACTGTCGCTACGATTATTACTTCTACTACTTCTACTACTCTCACTAGTTGTACGACTAGTACGACTACTATTATTTCAATGGCGACAACAGCTTGTTGTATTACAACTAAGACTACTATTACGTAGACTACTATTACTAGTTTAGTATTTCTTCTACTACCACTGCTACTGATACCAATACTTCAATTACTACTGCGACGACGACTATTCCTATTACTAATACTATGACTACGTGTAGCAGTAGTACTACTGCACGTAGTAGCTAAATTAGTAACAGTCGTAGTAATAGTCGTAGTTATAGTCTTTGTAGTAGTGATAGGTTTAGTCGTATAATAGTTGTGTAGTAGTAACAGTCGTAGTAATAGTCGTAGTAATAGTTACTACGTGTAGGGAAAACTAAGAGTAGCTAAGGTAATAGCAGTCCTAGTAATAGTCCTTGTAGTAGTGGTGGTAGGAGTAGTAGTTGTAGTCGTAGTAGTAGTAGTAGTAGTTATAGTAGTAGTAACAGTAGTAGTAGTAGTCGTATTAGTAGTAGTAGTACTAGTACTAGTACTACTATTACTACGACTAGTACTGCTACTACTGCGACTACTACGACTATTACTATTACTACTACTACTACTACTACTGCTGTTGCTGCTACTACAAGTACTACTTCTATTACTACTACGGTTACTACTACTACTACTACTATTACTACTACTACTACTATTAACTATTATTACTACTACTACTACTGCTACTACTACTACGACTACTACGACTACTGCGGCTACTACTACTATTACTAATAATAATACGACTACTACTATTATTACTACTACTACTACTAATAGTACTATTCCTTCTACTCTCACTACTACTACTACTACTACCACTACTACTACTACCACTACTCCACTAACTACTACGATTACTACTACTACTACTACTACTACTATTACTATTACTACTACGACTACTAGTGCTACCTCTACTACTACTACTACTACTACTACTACTACTGCTGCTACGACTACTCCTACTACTACTGCGACTACTATTGCTACCACCTACTACAACTACTACTACTACTACAACTACTACTGCTACGGCTACTACCTTTACTGCTACTACTACTACTACTACTATTACTATATCTTCTACCACTACTACTACTATTACTACTACTTTTACTACTACGACTACTACTACTACTACTACCTTTACTGCTACTACTACTACTACTACTACAACTACTACTATTATAACTACTACTACTACTACTACTACTACTACTGCTACTACTACTACCACCACCACGACTACTACTACTACTACTACTACTACTACTACTGCTGCTGCTGCTGCTGCTGCTACGACTACTACTACTACTACTACTACTACTACTACTACTACTACTACGGCTACTACAACTGCTATGGCAAGTCTTTCGTATGGTTGTTCGCCTTTTCTGTGCCTTGTCGAGTATTTTTGCTGCGTTGCGCACCGCCGCCCTTCACGCCTGTGCTGCATCCCCTCGCTTCCACGATGCATCCTGGAGTCTGCTGCTTTAGCGGTTGCGCTGCATCTGTGTGCTTTTGGTCGCCCACTCCCTGTCGCCACGGCTGGACGCAACCCGGATAACTGGCCAGGATAGGCTCTGGGTCCCGTGACCCAGGCCCTTGTCGGGCGGGGCCAACGCGAGGACAGATCCGTCCCAGAGCGTTCTGGAACGTTCTCAGAGTGTCTGGGCACGCTTTGAGAAGGCCGCGGCGCCCAGGATATCCTCCAGAGCCTCCAGATCTCAGAGAGTTTCGCTTCATCCTTACCGAAGTTTGTCATCGTCCTGGCTTCGTCTTACCATCTTTTCGCGAGGGGGGGCGCGCCCGCCCGTGCACCTGTTGCTTCGAGAAGCGGGGGCGTCCAGGAGGGGGGGGGCGCTGCCCTGGGCCCACCTCCGGCGGGCAGTCTTGTCGTCCCGACGTGGGCCTCTGGGGGATCTCGACCTGTTCGCCAGGGACCGATATGTCGTCCCGAATGGATGTTGCAGGTCCCGGGTCCCGAAAGCCGCTTCCGTCTAGGCCTCCCAGATAGGCTCCGAGCAGATGGGGTCGGAGGATGGCGCCGCATCGCCGCTGCACTGGCGATGCGGTTCGATGCGGAGCCAGATTTTTTCCACGCCGGCGCCGCCGATGCCTCGCCGACATCGTTGATGCATCGCCGATGAATCAGCGGTGCACTGGCGATGCGGCGCAATCCTCCGACCCCTTCTACTCGGAGCCTTTAAAATCGGCTTCCAGAGGCCACAAGCGACAAACGAAGCCGCCTCGATCATTGTCAACGTGTTGGGTTCGGCGGCGAAATCCGAACCCTACCACCGCCGATCCACGATTCTGGCAAGTCGATGGTTGGCGGGGTGGGGTTCGGATGACGCAAACGATGGATGTCTGGGCAGGACAAGGAGAGGGCAGGAACGATCCGCTCATGCTCGGGGGTGTCGAAGAGGGGTGCGTATGATTGGGGAGGGGGTGATGCCGTGGCCAGGGTTATCAAATCTCCCAGAGTTCCTGGCCGATCATGAGTATAACGATTCGCATCCGTATTGGTATTCTTGACAATGCCCGCCCACTTGGAGCGTCTTAGGTGCCTCAGGGAGCCTCTTAGGGCCTCTTGAGGGTCTCTTGGGGGCCTCTTGGATGCTTCTTGGGCGCCTCCTGGGGCCTCCTGGGCGCTTTTTGGAGCCTTCCTGGGGCGCTCTTGGAAGCCTTGGAGGCGCTCTCGGAGCCATCTTGGAGGAGGTCGATGAAAAAAGGAGGGGTACCTACTTGGCCTTGCCTTTCTAGCGTACCTCGCATCGCCTCTTGGACCCCTTTTGGAGAGCTCTTGGGCGCTATTGGGGCTCTCTTGGGCCTCTCTTTTTGGGTTTCAAGGGTTTTGGCATTTTGGCGGCCTCCTGGGGAGGTTCCATGGCCACTCTGAGCCGCCTTGGAGGGGTGTTGGGGCTTCTTGGAGCCATCTTGGAGGTCACTTTGTTTCATCGTCTCTTCTTCTTTGTCTGATGTTTCTTCTTTGAGAATCCCACATTGTCCGCTCCCCGGGCAAGGATGCGGTTTCATCCCCCTTCGTCCTGGCCCTCTTCTCCTGGCGCGCACGAGACGTACTCGTTCCGCCCCCCCGCCCCCCTCCGAGCCGGCCCTCGGCCAATGTATCCGATGCCCTGTTTTTGTTTGTCCCACCTTTCCTGCGATGTTTTGTCGTGATGAAAAAGGTACTGCTGGTGTCGTGGTACTCCCCCGCCCGCGTTCCCCGCCTCCTGCCTCCTCTCATCTCCTGCCTCGCACTCCCCCTCCTGCCTGCTCTCCCCTGTGGCCTCCAACCTCCCGGTCGCCTCCTGCATCGTCTCCCTGAGCGCTGCCAGTGCGCAACTGCCACCACTTTCGTGTGCCCTGGGTGGTCCAGCGGAGCGCTGCCTCACGCGGTTCCAAGAGAGGCCTCGCCTCCCTGGAAGCTGTCAAACCGTCCAACCGTTTGTGAGCCCTTTGGAGATCCACTGGAGTGGTGCCCTGCGCGGATCCACGCGGGACCTCGCGACTCTGGGGGCTACCAGCTGTGCAGAAGTGGCCACTGCCGTGCGCCCCAGGGGTGTTCAGCGGAGGCGTGCCTCACGCGGATCCAATGGAGTCCTCGCCATCTCTCGGTGTTGTTACTTGCCTAATTGCGGCAACTTGTCCGAGCCCTTTGCAGGCCCAACGAAGTGCTGCAATACGCGGACCCTAGCGAGACTTAGCTCCTGGGCGCTGTCCCTTGCGCACCTGTCCTAATCTATGTGAGCCCGTGGGAGGTCAATCGGAGTGGTACCCCACACAGACCCGAGTGAGACCTCGCTTCCCTGGGCACTCACAACTACGCAACGTTCGCCACTTTCGTTCGCCACTGGGAGGTCCACCGAAGCGAAGCGGTGTTCTACGCAGGTCCAAGTTGGATCTAGTCTCCTTGTGTACTTCTTGATTTGTGCTAAGCGTTTGTCTTTCGGACCCGCAGGGTAGTACACCTCTCACGAGAAGGAAGAGGAGGAGGAGGGACGAGAAGGAGGAGGAGGTCAACGCGGAAACCCTCTTCCGAACTCAAAGTATCTCGTGAAGCATGCAACGCCTAGGCCTCCCCCATGAAGTTATCATAACGCATTGCGTTCCTTGGCATGCCAAGATCCGCGCAGACAAGGGCCCACTGCTATGGTTGCTTGTTGCAGATGGGCTGGGTACGTCACCAGGCAGTTCAATTCCTGGCCACGGGAAGTCACGACCCCCTCTCCAGGGGAAGGCTTTTGATCTTGAGCAGTGTTCTGACGATCCTTGGGGCCGGTGAGGACCGCTGGAGGCCGAGTATGGGCAAGCACTCTGGCGTTGCGCAATGCGGGTGGCGATGAATGGAGTGGGGAGAGAACGGTCCGACCTGCTCCAGGCGCTGCATGTCCGGGGGCCCCCCGATGCCATCTTGCCCTCCCCGCCCCTCGGGGCCAGCCCCGGGCGCCACGCGCCCGCGCCACGGCCCAGAGCCTCCCCCTCCCCTTCCTCCTCCCCTTCCTCCTCCTCCTCCTCCTCCTCCTCCTCCTCCTCCTCCTCCTCCTCCTCGTCCTCCTCCTCCTCCTCCTGCCCCTCCTCCTCCTCCCCCTCCCCCTCGGAGCTCAAGCACATGTGGCCCCGTCCCATCCGTAGGCCCCGCAGGCGCCGCTCCTCCGTGGGCTCTTCCCACGGGCTTCGGCAACCCCTCGACCCACACGGGCGGGGGGGGAGCGGCCGCCCGCTTTTTGGCTTATCGCTGGGTCATGGTCACGTCCCACGCCTCCACGTCGGCGCTTGAGGGACGCCCAGGCTTCGGCACCGTGTTTGCCGCTTTTCTGGGCGACGAAGTGGGACGAACTGAGGCGGCCGCCCTAGGGCACTCAGCCTCCGGCAGGATCCGGAGCCATCAGCCCCCGCAGGTGTCGTCACCCTTAGTGCTGCAACCCCTCATCACCGCAAGGGGGGTTCCCTGGCGCTTGCTGGTGGCGTCATCTACAGTGCCGCTTTTTTCTATCAACGAGCTGGTGCCGCCACGCCTGGAACAGCGCGTGCAAGACGAGCAAACCGAGGCAGCGGACGGTGGCGCTGCCGAGCGAGGCCCAACGCCTTCAGCTACAATGCTTGGATCGGTACATGCGAGAAGGGCGGCAGTGGCAGCAGACGACCCCACATGCCCATCGGCACGTTCTCACCTACTGTGCCAAAATGGGTTGGGGTCCACTCACATACAAGCCCGTCGGCGCGCCTTCACTCACCGTGTCGCAATGGGCTTGTACCAGTGTTTGGCCAATGGTATTTTCCTACGGGATTTCTCAGAATTGTGCACAGTGTTACAGTTCTTATCCTTGTATTTCACCATCTTTCAGATGTGCTGTACGACGGAACGTCTCAGGTTGGTGGGCGGTCGTTCTCTTCGGTACTCGACACATGCTCCGCGAACATGGGCGCACCAGACATATACTGCACTCGCTCACCTGGGGAACGGAACGCAGAGGGACGCCTTCGGTGCAGACGGAGTCGGTGCACTGGACTCGGCTTGGGCGTGCATGGGAAATGCGGGCATATCGTGCTCTGGTTGTTCCTTTCCTGGCGCCTGGTGATCAGCTCCCAGGGTCGGCCAGGCTTGCGGCTGGTTGCAGCATGCTGGTGTGGTGTTGTGATACAAATCCCGAGTTGATGCCTCGCCGCATTACGAGGCGAGATGGAGGTGCCCAATTTCTCCCACGGCCGTTCAAGTTTATGTCCTGCACACCGTACTTTCCTTTTCCATCGGAACCATGTGAATGCGTTGTAGCACAAGTGTTGTGTGTGTGTGTGTTCATTTCCAGTCTCCCAGCGAGCCGTTTTTTCTCCGATCTGTGTCGTGTTGTGGGGTTCTGCGCTGGAACACCGCATCACCCCCATTGGGGATCTCATATGAGATGGCACGTAATGTCGTGGTCCGTTGTGATCCGTATCTTGAATCATTGTTGATAAGAGCGCTGATCCGTGTGACCATGTTATTTGAATCATATCGCTACGCGATCAGGCAGAGTCTCCAGAGTCTCCCCTCCCCCTCGGAGGTCTTCATGGCCTCGGGCACCGAGGAGGGCGTGGCCAAGAGCCAGGACCGCGCCGCGCGGGGCGGGGGGCCGGGCCTCGGGCCCGCCAGGGCGGGCCCCCGGGCTCCGGCGCGCTTGGCGGAGGCCATGCGGAGGGCGTTTCGCCACTCTCGGCCTGTGGGCGCCCTGGCCGGGCTCGGGGAGGGCCATCACAGGCCACCAGACCACCCCAAGCCAACCCGGAGGCCCTGGTCTGCCCTCCATTTCCAGTTGGGGGGGGGGTGTCGGGGAACAGGGAGAAAACACACACGCAGCCCGTACCCCCCCCCAACCCGAAATTCGCGTCTTCGGGTTGGGGTGGGGTGGTTTGGTAGGTAGTCAGGTCAAACATCCAGGGTCACGCCCCTATCCCTCTTCCCCTCCTCATCCCCCCATCCACCCTCGTCCTCCCTCCTCCACCTTCTTCCTGAGTTGCCGGGCGGGAGGGGGAGCCGGGACCGTCCTCGGCTTCTGGTTTGTGAAGCTCGGTTCTTTCGAGGCTTCTGCCAATGCTCGCGTCGAGCATCCGCTTGCGAGAGCCAGTGAATTCAGGACGGTTGCCCGAGAATTTTCGTTAGGCTATCAGATGTCTGAAGGGTGCAGAGGCGGAAAAGTGCGAGAGGCGCCTACTGTGACCCTGCAGAGAAAGGAGACAGTTCGGGGGCGGGGTAGGGCCCCTTGCCCTGGTCCCTGTGAGTCCCCCAAGATTCACGAGGGGTGCCCTTGATGGGGGCAGTGAGGCCCCGAGTCGAGAGCGCTAGCTTGTCTGGGTGCAGTTGGTCGAATTAAGGTACCTGAGGGTTCAAGCAAGATGGGCAGCAGTCGTCCACGATGGGTCATTGTGATGATCAGGGATCCAATAGCTGGATCCGGACTCGGATTACCAAGCCCTCCTGTTCCCTTTTTCCGTTCCTCCCTACGGTCGTGAACGTTGGCTTAGCGTGTCATTCCGCTGGTCCTGGCCCGCCACGCTTCGGCGCGACACGCTTCGGCGGAGGGGAAGCCGAAACTGCAAAAAAGATTGAAACATATCAGGCGTCAGAAGGGAGGGCGGGGACTCTGGCGTGCACGGGGCGGCGTGGCGGAGCGACGGGCACCTCCTCGCACCCTGGGGGGCAACGTTTAGGTGTTTGTACCGTTTGTTTCTTAGCAGCCTACCACAGTCACGCAATGCTTACACAGCTTCTGGTTCGCATTCGTCCGCAGAGTAAACATGCACAATATGCAAGTATGTAGGAATATGCCTGGGGCAAGTGAGGTGGGGTCACGTTTTGGGGGGTAGGTCAGTGGCGAAATCCGAACCTTGCCCCCGCCGATCAACGATTCGGGAGACTCGATGGGCGGCGGGAGTAGGTTTCGGAATTCGTCGGACACGTGGCGAAGTCCGAACCCTACCCCCGCCTCCCATCGGTTCAGGAGAACGGATGGTTGCAGGAGAATCGATGGTTGCTTGGTGGTGGGGTTCGGATGTCGCCGCGTAGTAGCAGGCTCAGGGGGAGAGCACATCGACCCCCGAGCGCCCATCGATCGCCGGGAGTGGCCCGCCGGCCCGCCCCGCCCGAAGACCGTGCGATTGCGCTGCGCTCTCGGGGGCCCGTCGCCGCTCGAGCGCCCGTGCATCGCCGCTTCCAGGTCCGCTGTCTCCCCCCCTGAGCCGGCCCCTCCCCGGCGCGGCCCCTCACAACGGCGGCCCTCTTGGCTCTCCCTGGCATGTTTCGCGCCCCTGTGGGGCTTCCTGGGAACTTCTCGTGGCCACGGATGGGTCCGCCTCGTAAAGAGTTTGGCATCGTTCGGACGTGTGCATTTTTTCTCGGCGAGAACCATCGAGGACCATCCTGGACCATCGAGCAAAAAAAACGCGCGAAATCGACAAATGCACGGGAAATGGACGTCCGAGCGACGGCAAGAATATCGGCCTCTTTTGGGTCCCTTTGGGGCGAGCCAGCAATCTCGGTGATTTTGGGGGCGGAGTGTTCGGAATGTCAGTTCGAGTTCCCTTTCTTAGGCCTCTCTTCGGGTCCTCTTCAGATCCTCCTGTGCTGTCCTGGGCGTTTATTTGGCCGTCTCGGGGTCCTCTCGGGACGTGTTGGGGCCTCCTGACAGATTTCGTGGCTACTGGGTGGCGATGTCGTGGATTTTTGGGGCCGTATTTTTTCGACGCTGTTAGTAGTACGTTGTCTTGGTCGATGAGTTGATCGGCGGAAGATCTACATATAGAGTTCTATGTAGACATGCGGGCATATCTCCATAATTATATCGGGCACCACCCCTGCAGATCGGTGCTGCCTCGAGGGCTGGCGTTGCGCGTGCGGTGCTACTTTCAAGGGCCCGTGCGGCGAGGAATGCGCCACCTGTTTGACAGGGCTCCGTGTTGACAAAACAGGGCCCCTGATGTCTTTGGCAGGCCGAGGCTCCCCTTGCGCAGCCAGAGCAGACGGTCACCGGACCAGTGCGGCATGCGTCCCTTGTTCGATTCGGGAGACGCCCGCCGCTCCCATCGGGATCAAGGGAGGAGAAGCCACCGAGACCTCGTATGACTGGCGTTTGCTGATGGACAGTCTTCTTCCCAACCATCCTGTGGAGTTGGGTCCTTGTTTTGAAAACAGCGCCCCGCGTCTCCTCCTCTCCTCTCGTCCTCCTCCGCCTCCTTCCTCCTCACATCCGTGTCTCTGCCCCCCGCACCAGACAACCCTTTCTGGCACACCCCTCACACTTTTCGTGGCCTCACAGGGAGCCTCATCGAAGGCCTCAGTGGCGGTGTTCGTACGAGTCTCCCCCACTCAGTACAGCGCTTCGTGGCCCCACAGGGAGCTCCACCGAAGGCCTCAGTGGCGGTGTTCGCATGCGTCTCCCCCACCCACGGAGCCGTGCTGGGACTCTGGATCACGAAAGTAGTGCTGGGCCGTGCCCGCGTGCCGTACCGCGCCAGAGCACTAGAGTGCGAAGAGGGCGCCGTGCCGTGCCGTGCCCTGCTCGGCTTCCAGGCTGTCAATGACGCGACAATGCGCAACCACATCGCTTACGCACACCGAGCACGCTCCAGTTGATGTTCACTCACAAGTCAGCTCAGGCAGCGTTGCTTCGGCGCCCCCCTCCCGACATACTGATACTATGTGTGCGTCGCCCCCAAAGGGGCGACGGGCGCGCCGATGAACCTTGTAGCATATGCTCCGTGGCGGGCGCTTTCTGGCCGTACCGCTCGGGAAACGACCGGGTCGGACGCATGTCTCCGAGGAGGACATGCAGCACCGGTGTGTTGCTCTGCGTACCATCGCTGTTTAGGGTCCCTGCGCACGGTGTAATGCTAGAAGTTGTTTTTTTCGTTCCTCTTGCGGGAGGAGCCGGAGCCGGTGCCGATGCCCCCCGCCGCAGCCCCTCCTCGCCTGACATCGGGGTCGTCGTGGAGAGAGTGCGGCGGGCGGTTCCCGGACTGCGGGCGCCCGGGTGAACCTGGCCCGGGCAATCGGTTTGCCATTCGGGAGGGTGTCCGCTTCGCAGTCGGTTGCGTTCGGTCGGTTCGGTTGCCGTTCGGTCGGCTGCCGCGCCGTTGCGTCCTTCCAGGCTGCGATCGGTCCGTCGGTTTCGGTTTCGCTGTCAGCTCGGTCGGTTTCCGATTGGGCTGTTTCCGTGGACGACCTTGGGAGCTTGCGTGATGCATCACGCTGTCCTGCCTTTTCGTGTCGGGGGTCGGCGTCTTCTATGCGCTCCTCTCGGCGTCTAGCGTCGGGTTCTGAGTGTACGGGCCCATCACAACGTTTTGGTGCCACAAGAATCATACATGGCCATTGAATGATCGGAATCTGGAAGAAGGTTCTCACCCTTCATTCAGCATGGTGCAACCACTCACCCTGATAACGCAATGAGTTCGGGGCCTAGCTTAGGTCCCTGATTACTCGGGTTATCCCTAAACATCTGGGTAGTCTCGTCTGTGACATTTGCAAAACAAGAGACCCCCTATCCCTCATGTTTCTGGCCGTCCTAACTGTGGTCCCATCCAACAGGATGAGGGGTACGGTTCTTGCTTATCATTCCTCTATCCTCATTGTGTGATTCATCCCTCGTCATCATGCTAGTTTGTTTGTTTGCTTGCTTATTCTCCTTCAACGTCTCTGGAGGTCTTTGGAGGGCCCCATGAGGTTTCTGGAGTCCCCGGGAGGCCCAGAATGGACAGAACATAACTCCTGACACTTTTGACCCGCGATCCCCGATCCACTTCGATCATGCGGGCCCTCCCCCTCCAATCCCCTCGACCTCCGCGTTCCGCACCTTTCGCGTGGCAGGTGCCGCGTAATTATCGGCGACCGCCGTCGCAGCCGCGCGGCAGTTGTCGAGCGGGAAGCTCGGTGGGCTTAGCATGAAAGAACCTGTCTTGGACCTCCGGGCCTTCCCCAGGAGCATCTCTTGATCCTGAATCGCTTCCTGTCAGTCCCGTGGCCCGTGGAAGCCCCGAGAGCCCGAAGCCGGCGAAAACTCTCGGGCCCAGGTTCCCTCAGGACCCGCTTCTTCCACGGCGGGAGGGTGGAGGTCGAGGGCTCCTCTTTTGGGGGTGGCCGCACGCCGCTCGGGCAGAGGAGCTGATGCAGAAGTACCTGTGGGACTCGCCCCGCAACCCGCAGGCCCGCTGCACCTGCCCATCCGTCGACCCGCTTCGTCCATCCGCCTCTCCTCCGAGCACAGTATCTGACTACCACCACAAAGATCGAGAATAACATACGATGCGATTTGGTGCAGTTTTGCTCTGGTGAAAAGCCCGCAGTCCCCCCCCCGCCGCCAACGGCAACCGGGCCCGCCTTCCGGCCGCCGGGAGGGGGGCGGAGGGCAGGAGCCTCGTGGTTCTTGGAAGCAGGGCCGTCTTCGTTCTGCAGTTGTTGCCCAAGTTCTGACCCCATTTGTTGTCCCATTCTTGCCGCCGTTTTGTTTCCGGTTCCGGCTCGGGTTGGAGCCAGCTGGGGGTCTGAGGTGGCCCAGCACTGGTTCCAGCCAGCAGGAACGGCTGGAAGAGGTTCGAGGTTCTGGGTTCGGGAAGGTTTTCGTTGTTGTTGGTGGCGATGTTGGTGTTGTGTGTGTTGTTGTTGTTGTTGTTGTTGTTGCTGTTGCTGTTGCTGTTGCTGTTGCTGTTGCTGTTGCTGTTGCTGTTGCTGTTGATGGTTGTTGTTGTGGTGGTGGTGGTGATTGTTGTTGTTGTCGTCGTTGTTGGTGTTGGTGTTGGTTGTTGTTGGTTGTTGTTGGTGGTGTCGGTGTTTTGTTGTTGTTGCTGCTGCTGTTGTTGGAGTTGGTGGTGTTGTTGTTTGTGGTGTTGTTGTTGGTGTTGGTGTTGTTGCCGTCGTCGTCGTTGTTGTTGATGTTGAACTCTTCATTATCAGGAAAAGTCTCGGGGCTCAAACTGGGCCCCTGGCCCCTGGTTTACAACAACAACGGCTCCCGCCGGATTTTTCATAAATTATTCCCAAGTCGCGCTCTCGCGCGAGACGAACTGACAGTACATGTACGCATCGCGTTCTCGCGTCGGGCTTCCTCGCAATTTATTCAGACGATACGCTCTCGGCGCTCAGGAATCACGCTCTCGCTCTGACTTTTCTCACAATTTACTTTGGAATCGCGCTATCGCTCGAGACTTGCTCGCGATTCATGCAGGGCCCACGCTTCAGCAACCCGCCTGCTCGACCTGGTCGCCTGGGCCCGCATTCCCGACCTCCGACCTGCCCGCTATGGGTCTGCCCACCCGATCTGCCCGTCTGGTTCTACCACTTGTTTTCTGCTCCTTGCCCCCCCCTGCTAATATTTCTTGTGCTCCACTCTTCTCCCTTCTTCTCCCTCCCCCTTCCGCCCGTCCTTTCTTCCCTTGTTTTAAGGCTGCACTGAATGCACGTGGCAGGTAAGGAAGATATGCCCGGAATGGGGTACGATCGAAGACGACGAGGGCGGGTACCGAGGGCTCGGGATAGACGTATTGATAGGCACGTGAGCAGGTAGGAACGAACATTATTAAAATGATTGTTGTTGTTGATGTTGTCGTTGTTGCACTCTCATTTCTGAAGAGTAATTATTGTTGATCCCCCTCACCGGTGCATATTGTGTTTCTCAATCAAAGTGTACCCCTCGACGCTCGCACCCGGTTTTTTGACAGGGAAGGTCTTCGTGCTCAAACTGGGCCCCTGGCCGCCCGGATTACAACAACAACGGCTCCCGCCTGAGATTTCCCCTTCCTCATAATTTACTCAGGATCGGTGCTCCCGCTTGTGACTTCCTCACAATTTAGTCAAGACCCCGCTCCCATCTGAGACTTCCTCACAATTTACTCAGGAACGGCGCTCCCGCTCGAGACTTCCTCGCAATTTAATAAAGATTTCTTCGCAATTTAATCAAGACACCCGCTCCCGCCAGAGAACCCTTCACATGTTATTCAGGAATTGCGCTCTCGCCTGTGACTTCCATGCAATTTAGCGCTTTCGACGCTCACCAAACACGCTGCGCCAAGGGCGCCATTACAATTTACTTAGTAATGGCGCTCTCGCCATACTCAAGCATCCCGCTTGAATGTCCCACCCGCCCAACCCGCCCGTCAGGAGATCGCCCGCCGATCGTGGGCTCCCGCCAGAGACTTCCTTCAGGAACGGCGTTTTCGCTTAGGACTGCCTCGAACGTTCACGCTCTTACCTTCCTGCTCCTCCTCCCTCTCCCTCCTCCCTCCCTCCTCTCCTCCCTTCTCCCTCCCTCTTCTCCTTCCTCATCCTTATGCCTCTCTGCCCTATCCCCTCTCCCTCCTCTCCCTCCTTTCTTCTCCCTCCCCTCTCCTGCCTCCTTCCTCCCTCTTTCTTTCTCTCTCTCTCTCACTCTCACTCTCTCTCTCTCTCTCTCTCTCTCTCTATATATATCCCCTCTCTCTCTCTTCCTCTACCTCTAGTATATGTTTTTTTTCTCTCTCTCTCTCTCTCTTTCTCTCTCTCTCTCTATCTCTCTGCCTCTAATCAACCGCCCCCCTCTTCGCTCCTTCTCTCCTGGCGTTTCCCCTCTTCCTTCGCCCCTCACCCTCTCTTCCTCCCGCTCTCCCTCGTTCTCCCCCTGCAGAGCCCACACCAATTCAAATGATGGGCACATGTACGCCCACGAAGGATTGTCCGCCCGTTCAGGTTTGCCCGCCACTGTAAAACCGCCGCCCCCCGCAAAAAGAAATAATCCCCCCAAAGGGGGTGTGATCGAAGACAAAAAGGGCGGGTATCGAGGGTGTGGGGAACTCGTTTTGAATGACACACGGGCAAATAATGGCGAACAGTCTTTTGAATGATTGTTGTTGCTGCTGAGCTTTCATATCTGAAGAATATTTGTGGTTGTCTCCCCCCCCGTCCGGTGCACATTGTTTTTTCGATTGAAGTTCCTTTCCCGGGGCTCGCATCCTGTTTTTTATCCGGGAATGTCTTGGGGGTCAAACTGTGTCGTTGGCCCCCCGGATTACAACAACAACGGCTCCCGCTTGATATTTCCTCATAATGTATTGAAGAGTCGCGCTCTCGCTTTGGACTGCCTTGCAATGTACCACTTGGTCGCGGCTCCCGCTTGATACTTCCTCACAATTGATTGAAGAATCGCGCTCTCGCTTGGGACTTCCTCGCAACTTACACCGAATCGCGGCTCCCGCCGGATACTTCCTGTATTCCATGCCGTCTTCGGCATTGAGGAATTGCGTTCCCTCTACATATTGCTTGGCGGTTCAAGGAGAATTTTCGCTTCAACGACCCGCCCGCTCGACACGCCCGTCTGGGCCTGCCCGCCCGACCAGCCCGTTAGGGACTGCAGTCGCCGCTCGCTGCCCTTCGCCCGCCTTCGATGCCCCTCGCTGCCCGTATTGGTTCCGCGGTCGCCTTCGTTTGCTGCCCTTCGTGGCCCCGTTGCTGCCCTCAGTGGCCCCATCGCTGCCCATTGTGGCCCCGCGTTATATGCCCTCCGTGGCCCCCGCTCGCAGTCGCCCGTCGTGGCCCCATACGCATGCCCTTCGTAGCCCCGCTGTCGCCCTTCGTGGCCCTCTCGCTGCCCTTCGTGGTCCCTTTGCTGCCCTCAGTGGCCCCGCTGTCGCCCTTTGTGGCCCCATATACGAATGCCCTTCGTGGCCCCCGCTCGCTCGCGCCCGTCGTGGCCCCATATGCATGCCCTTCGTGGCCCCACTGTCGCTCTTCGTGGCCCCCTCGCTGCCCTTCGTGGCCCCATTTCTGCCCTCAGCGGCTCCGTCGCTGCCTTCTGCGGCCCCCTTATACGCATGCCCTTCGGGGCCCCCGCTCGTTCGCGCCCTTCGTGGTCCCATACGCATGCCCTTCGTAGCCTCGCTGTCGCCCTTCGTGGCCCCATCGCTGCCCTTCGTGGCCCACTTTCTGCGCTCAGTGGCCCCGCTGTCGCCCTTTTGTGGCCCCATATCTGTATGCTCTTCGTGGCCTCCGCTCGTTCGCGCCCGCTGTGGCCCCATATGCATGCCCGTCGTGGCCCCGCTGTCGCTCTTCGTGGCCCCCTCTCTGCCCTTCGTGGCCTCGTTTCTGCCCTCAGCGGCTCCGTCGCTGCCCTCTGCGGCCCCCTATACGCATGCCTTTCGGGGCCCCCGCTCGTTCGCGCCCGTCGTGGCCCGCGCCAACAACGGCTCCCGCCTGCGTTCCCGCTGGTTTTCGGGGCCTCTGGAACTGCTCGGTGGTCATCGGGGCCATTCCGAGGCCCCCCAGAGGTCATAGGAGGCTGTCGGGTGCCTTCCAATCCCCCCGCGCATTGTTTCCGCACCAGTCTCCGCTCGTATCCACCTGCCCCCAGTGTTCAACGTTCTTTCCCAGTCTTTTCTACTCTTTCCGTTTATATTCGTTTCCTTTTCGTTCGCACTCCATTGTGCTATTCCTCAGTTCTTCGCATTCCGCCCACTCCCCCCCAGGCCACCCCAGCCCACGCCAACAATCTCCACCCCCTCCCGCTTGCATTCCGCATTTCTCCCAAAGTATCCCCAGTCCCTCCTCCAGATTCCTCCGCGCGCCCTTCGCTTCTCCGCACTCTTCCCTGTTCCTCTTTTCCACTCTTCGCCGTTCCTCCTCCTGAGACCCTACTCTTGTCCACTCCGTCCTAATGCTCATCACATCCCCGCGCCCCTCTCGACACGGCTGCAGTTCTCGCCATCCTTCCGCCCCGCTCTCCCAACATCCCGGTTCTTTTCAGGGTTCCACAAAAATTGTTTCTGACGCCAGTTCGCAGTTGTGCGCCCCCCCGTGGGGGTATCCACGATATGTTATTTCAGGGGGGTGGTGCATGGCGTCGTTTATGGCGCGACCCATGGCGAAACTTATTGTTAACCTGTCTTGGAGTGGCTGGCGCAAACCATGGCGCAAGCTGCATCGCCTCTCACTTTGCAAGTCATCGCCCTCCCTCCTTTTTGCCCTTCCCTTCCCTTCCTCCGATCCCTTCGCCCCCATTCTCCCCCGCTATCTGCTGCCCTTCGTTTTCAGGGGCGTCACCAACCACGCGTGGCGGGGAACGAATATACCTCCCAAAAGGGGGCGCGATCGGAGACGAAGAAGGCGGGTGCCCGATGCAGGGTTTGGGATATGCATATTGACTGACGCGCGAGCAGGTAGGAGCGAACAGTCTTAAAATG